GTTATTATCTTTAATGGGAAGGCTATGATTTTTTTTTGCAGTGTCTTGATTCATTTGTTTAACTGACTGTCTCATTATGTTTCAATATAAACTGGCTTACATGTGACAAGCGTTTGATAGTTGTATGTATCACTGTCTTGAACACTGCAGTAAGATGCCACACTGATTCTGCCAAATCTGGAATGGAATGACAAATATACTGATCAGTAGGAAAGCCTAAAAATTAAAGGGGTTTTGATACTGCTTTTTAAAACATTCAAGATAGCCCTGTATAAATAAACTCAAAGTAGATAATGGTTGCAGCTTGATCGTTGTATGGTCTGTCTCTGTTCATAAAGTATGAAAAAGTTTATTAGAAGTCACTACAGTAGTAACCGTGTTCATGGTAAGAAACATTGTCATTTGCTCTGAAATATAAAAGTGGTGGAATGTTCCAGTTTTAAATTTATCATGATTTTTTGTTGTGGTGTTGATATTTGATAATGCACTTAATCGCATTGATTGCAGAAAGTGTGAGCTGTCTTAATCTCTTCAGTAGGCTGGCTTTTGTCACTAATGTTATTTTGATACTTCTTTGTTAGCTGTTTTGTAGTTTCAAGTAGGCACTGATCTGAACACTTACCTGACTGAACTATGCTATTAAATTGTGAGTTTGTAGGTATTGGCTAATTTTGTGCACTGACTCAAACATAATAAAATCTGTGTGGTGATTATTAAAATACATATGACTCTTCTCTTTCATAAATTAAATTCATTAACAAAGACTATCTAGGATCATATAAATTTCTTTTCCAGACTGAAAATACCCAGCATCTGGTAAATTACTTGGTAGGATTAACTTTCCTACTATAGTGCTCCAAACTTTGTTGTTCAGCATTTCAGCATGGAGCTGCTGTGCCTTTGGCGGATACTCACAAGAAAAGTGAAAGTTTCTACTTCTTAGGACCTATGTATTTGTAGTGCCAAAGACTGCAAAATGGGCCTTTTCTTTTAATATATGATGGAGTTCTTCCATTAAACTCCATAGAAGTAAGAAAATATCCCTCATTTCTATCCATATGTAGCCATCCATCTAAGACATTCTCATACTACTTTTCTCAGCAGTATTTTATGTAAGTAATTCCCTTAAATAGCTTCCTTAAGATCTTGATTCAAGTCATGGTTGTGTACTTGTTTTTGTGTAGATGAATGAAAATGCCTTATCAAAGTTTTTGTTCGCATGTTCTAAACATGCAGATTACAAGTTTGCTTAGTATACAAAAACGGGGAGGGGTAGTGGGTCATTTCCTGGAAGTTTTCACCAAAACTAAGGATTCAAAAATAGGTATAGCTGCTGCTTTTAAGTGTTTAAGTGTTCAAAATTGTCTTGAAAGTGATTTGTCAAAAAAGACTTGAGTGTGCAGTGTGTGTCCATGTAGATTACTGACTGTAGTGTTCCTCTCTTCTGTGGTGCTTTTCTTATGGTTCTCAAGGCTAGCGTTTTACAGATGATTTAAGGAATGGGAGAATTAGTGTGACCTGAGGCTTGGAGTGTATGTGGTGTTTGTAGCATTAAAATCTGCTTTTAAGTCCTTGTGAGGCACTATGTTCAGCACAGAAATGTGAAAAAAACAGGCCAAAAACATTCTGTAATCGCTGTGTCAAACTGTAGTACTGCTTCTCTTTGGATTAAGGTAGTATTTTCCTAACTTTTTGTGTTTGTATGCTGCCATGTTGTGAAGTTAATGAAGAGTTTCAATATCATCTGAAACTTCAAAATATGATGATTTACATATACACTTATACATGGTGTTAGTGACTTTTTTAATATATCAAAGTTATCTGGATATGCTTTACAGGTTTTCAGTCTTACATGACTGTAGTAGGCTTTATTACTAAGTTATTAGATACATTGATGTGACTGTTGAATGAATGATGTTGCAGTATGTTTCTGGGACTTGCTGGCCTTCCTCTAAGGTAGTGTGATCTCTGTCAGCTTGGCAGCTGGTTACTTTTGTACATGGTACCCAAGTGTCTAGAATGATTTCTGGGGAGGGGGAGAGGGTGTTATGAGGGTGTAAGCTTTGAAGTTCTCTGATAACTACAGCTTCTGTAGCTTGGGGATCTGTAAAAACTGATTTAGGTATTTTTCTTAGCCTCTTTCAGCTTTGGGTTCTGAAGGAGTTTTGCAAGGGTAGTAATTACTGTTTTGTAAGCAATATAAATCTGAATAACTAAAAGCTGTAAATGGGTAGTTGGAACAGATATGAGAGTTAAATCAGTCTTGCCTATTTTTCTATCATACCTCCTTTTGCTCTCAATATGGAAAGCAGCAAGTAAAAAAACCACTGTAGTGGGTTGATTTCCTCGCTGTGTATCATCTTGAAGTCACTTGCTCCAAAGAGTACTAACTCTCATGGTCATTGGATGTATCCTTATGTTTATTAATGTTGCAGAGTCTAGGAAAATATGGGATGAATTAAGATTAAAGGCGTTTAATTATTTCAGGGTTATCCAAACACACTAGGATGCTACAGCAAACAGATGTGTTTAATTTTAAAATGAAAATAACTTAATTGTCTTCATTACTTTTCCAAAGGAAAAAATAAACAAATGGCTAACAGTATTCTCAGCTACCTATATTTTGGCTATGCCTTGCTGCTTTCTCTCATGTAGTATAATTAGGGAGAGATCAACTGTTGCCACTGGTCTGTTTTTATCCAAATTGCTCCACAACTTCTGAAGCGTATTTCAGGAGCACATGGAGAGTGGGGGGAGGAGTCTTGCCTGAGAACCAGCACTCCAGCTGGGCATTAATTGTTTTATGCTGTAAGGATAAAAGGTCTGGTATTTTTAAATAACTGGATCCATTCCTGTATTCTAAAATACTCAACCAAAATTAATGAGTAAGAATTTTAGTATGCAGTTATCACGGTACTTAAAAACAGTGGTAGTGGGATATGCAGGGGCTTTTTTGCTTCATAAGAATGTTCTTTCGCTGTGGTACATTTTCACATGCTTGTAAGAACATGCATCTAAAATTTAATATTTATTAGATCATGTGGTGAAACTAAAATCTAAAATCTGGTGATTTAAGGATATAATAGTCTAACAGGACACAAATTTGGGACACAGGATACAAGATTGGACTGTCCTACCTGGAAGATGCTAAATTATTTTGAGAGGAATGGGAAAAGGAGCAACTTGAGCAGATAGGTGTGTCTTTAAGATGCTGAAAATGTTTTTTTCCAAGAACAATATTCAAGTGGGGTTTTTTTGGGTTTTTTTTGGTTTTTTTTACAATGAGAAATAAAATAGCAGTTTTTTGGCTATTATGTTAGTGAATAAATAATGATAAGATTTCTTTCTTGTTTGTTGCATGGAAATTAGTTTGTAAGGGAGTATCTTAGTAGAAGATGGGGTTCTAGTGACAGAAGCACTTTTCAGAAACAAAGATGCTTTGGACTTGGTCTCACTTTAAAAAAGGGAGAGTTAAGGAGGAGAGTGAAGGCTTGGTATCTGAGCTAGGTGCATAGCAAACTGGAATGGTCAAGTGCCTCATGTATGTGCTAAGTGGTTTAAAATGGGAAGATGGCTGAAGACCGCTGCTTGGTTTAAAATGTGCTTGCTTTACCATAAAGAAGAAAGAGCAAGAAGTCATTTGAAAGTAGCAGGTTTGCTTACATTTTTGCAACCTATGTTTTAAAGGCATTTTCTGGATTAAGAGAATGTGCTTTAAACTAACTTGCTTGCATCCTAAATGCTAGAAAACCTGTATCCCCATGAAGTATTCACAATTCAAATAAATAAACAACCATAGTAGGAAAAAGTTATAGGCTGGGTTTGGTTTTGCATTTGTGGTTGATTCTTGGTTTGGTTTTTTTGTGTGTGCGTTTTGGGGTTTTTTTGGTTTTGGAAGGGAGTTTTGGGTTTGTGTGGCTTTTTTAAATTTTTTTTAGCAGAAACACAGAAGCAGATGTTTCTCTTACTTTGAGCTGAAGGACCATCACTTAGGTGTATTTTCTGTAGGCTCACTTGGAATTTTGTTTTGGGAACTGTGAGGAAAGAGAACACAGAAAATGATTATGCCAGTTTTTCATACAGCAGTACGTACCTGCAGAAAGATTGAATCTCTACTGCTAAGTGTGTAAAAGCATAAATAAATAGAAATAAATAAAAGCTCAGAAGTGGTACCAACAGAGTGTAAAGGCTTCCCTTCATATGAATAAATACTGTGACTTTTTTTTTTTTAAGGCATTTGAAAGAAGAGTAGGCAGACTAAGGAATACACTGTTCATACATGTTCTTAAAAAGATCTCTGTTGTGAATACTGATCTGATAGGACGTGCTAGTACTGGAAATAGGAATTTAACATCATATAGTTCTGGTGGCTTGCACAAAATGATCTGGAGTTCTTACTGGTCAAGACAATCCATTTTTGTACATAAGGAATGCTTTGTATTTTTGCTTCTCAAAGTATAGTTGTTAACTAGAGAAGGTGTTAACGATTTGTACATCAAGATCTTCTGTACTTTTATGTAAGGAAATTGCATTTGATAGAAGTGATTTGAGGAAGTATACTTGCAAAGAACTTGATGTGGTCATTGAGTTTTCCCAATTTGCTGCCTTTGCTAGCATCCTTTAGTGGTGCTGACTTCAGAAGATTGCTTAGCAATAGCAAAATTATAGAAAAAATATTATTTCTTGGTGAAAGTCTGAATCTGTTGTCTTATACTTCAATCTTGATATGCTAAGAAATAAGAGACTGAAGTCTTGCAAGAGGAAGTATAATTGGATTTTAATGCCCTCATTTGAAATTTTAATGGGAAGACAAGGTATTGAAGAAAACTGGTTCATTTGTCATAGATTTAGTCTATAGCTGTGATCTTGGCAATGGTAGCTGTACTCTGGACTACTGACTCTGGTAAATATTAGGACAAGTTATATGTAATCATATTGTGTTAGTGAATTAGATTTTTCTTGCTTGGTTTGTAAATCTAATATCACCCACTGTCTTCTAACAAACAGGTTGTTACTGGCAGAAGCACCACTGAGATCTGAATCCTGGAACTTGCTTTCAAGATCTTGAAACAAAGGACTTTCTAATTTCAGCATGGCTAATCGAGGAGCAACAAGACCCAATGGGCCAAATGCTGGAAATAAAATTTGCCAGTTCAAACTAGTACTTTTAGGAGAGTCTGCAGTTGGCAAATCAAGTTTGGTGCTTCGTTTTGTAAAAGGACAGTTTCATGAGTTTCAAGAAAGTACGATTGGAGGTGAGAAATTTATCCTTTTAATTTGTTTCATGTTGAGTTTATTTTGTCATTGCCTTGGATAACCTTGAATGTAATGGCACTTCTAGAATGGGTTCTTGACAGCAAGGACCAAATCTAAGCCCTTTGTCTTTCACTGAGAACTGTAACTTTTTAAGCTAAGAATTGTATGCTTGAACTCCATGGTTCTAAACATTGAGCTTGGTGTTACATTTTGGTTGTGAGTGGATATGTGGCTATTTTAATTGTGCTTTATGCTTAATGCATGAAATAACTGCTTAATAAGAATTAAGAAATTAAGAACTTAGTTTCTATGGGGGAAAAAAAAAAACGAACAAAAAACAACCAACCAAAACACTGCTGCACCTTCAAAAAGGTTGTGTTATCTGTGCATCCTGGCTTTGCATTTGATTTGGGAGAACTTGCTAGGTTTCTGGATATACCTACCTTTGTTAGTAATCATAGATTTAATGTACTGGTTTTAAACTTCTTGACTTGAAACAAGACAGGTTCTGGCTACTAGAATTAAAAAAAATATTAAAAATCTGTTTAACTGTGCACAGATTTTTATTCCCTCACCCCCAGCAGATTTCTTCTGCTATATCCAATGTTGAAGTTGTTTGTGCTTTGAGCTGTATTCCTCCTTGGATAAATTTAAACTTATCCTAAAACTACCTAATGGCATATGGACTTTATTGATAAATATTCTCTAGTAGTGCCTGTTGCTGCTTGCATGAATCAGTCTGTTTCATAATATTTATGTGAAGCCCTTTCAGTGGACTGTTTGTTTCTTTACTCATGAACAGCTGTTGAAATGTAAAAATAATATACGAAACTTAGAAAAATAAATACAAGCTGAACTTCACTGCATCATTTTTTTACCCTCCTTCTAGCTGTTATGTGTATTTATGTTGTGTATCTGTCAGCTTAAATGGGGAACCACTTTTTTTTTTTTCTCCTTTAGCAGTCTTACTGATGCACGCTTCTGGCTTTGTGCATTTTATAATGGCTTTAGATAGGTGTTAGTGTGAAAGGTTTCTTTATTTCCTACAGCAATATGGTAATATGAAGAGCATTCTCAAGTATCTCTAGTGAATTAACTTCCCAATATCAATATAGTTTTTGGTTGGAAAACATCTGTTAAAACTAAGTGAAATTCATTGTTCAATTTCAGCAATCTCCAATTCATTTAACCTCCTTTTTGTTTTTTCTTGTTTCAGTGTCTGGGTAGAACTAGGGATAATTCAAATACTGTTAAACACTTTAAAATCTATAAAAAGGTTAAACAAGAGCTTAAGTTCAACTTCAGATACATAGAGTTTAGTGTAATCTCTGTATCAACTTGTGCCTCTTCTATATAAAATAAAAACAAGGAATGCTGTATAATACAGATCAGAGATACTAAATTAAGCAATGTTAGGATTCAGAAAAAGTTTGCTATAAAGAAAGCTGTCGAACTGTGTAGCTTGTAGTTGCCTAAGGCATAATTTTCTTTGTATACAGAAGGGCCTTTTAACAAAGAAAGGCTTATGTGCATTGTGAATCTGAATAAAAACATCTGAAAGAGAGTGCAGTTAAAGGCAGACGTGCTGCATGGTGGTGGTGTGGTTTTGGGACTTCAGACTAGTGTAGCAATGCCTGTTAGTTGCTTAAGACAAAAGTATGGCTATTAAGGATGATAGCCTTTCAGATAATTAACACAGCTGATTAATTGTCAATTTACTATGGCATTACAAGATGGAAGGAAGTTACTTTGTTTGCAGAAATTAATTGGCATTTTATGGTGTTTGAAATGTTCCTTTCAACAAAAACATGAGGATGGAACAGAATAAAACCCTTGTTTTAACTTTCTTCTTGTGTACATCCCTTCATTTATGGAGCACTGGTACATTCTGCTGTTGGAAAGAAAGTAAGACAAATTCTACTTGTTTAACATCTTGTCTCTGCCTTGGAGAAATACAATATTGAGCTGGTTCTGAGGAGGAAGCCCTTAGTCTTACGGTGGTTTTTTGTCTTTCTTTTGGATCTGGGCTGCTTAGGGAGCTACCAAGAGGAGCCTGTTTTACCAGTGCTTGGATATTGGGTATTTAGAGAGATTTATGGTGACTTAACATTGGAACATCAAAGCCTTTACCTTCTCCAACCTGCCTATTCACCTGTGATGGATGCTTATACCCCTGAAGCAGGAACACCTGACCACTTACAACTAGTTAGCTTCTGTATGTTAGTTACAGTGTCCTTTATAAAGCAAGATTGACTTGCTTTTGGTTTACTGTAACGAGTTGAAAGTTGCAGCAGTTTTGGTATGATTCATAGGCTATGATGCCTTGAATATATGGGACAGGGTAACATCATAGGTATGCAAGGGTTATAGGTCAGTGCCTCTTCAGACGTTTGATTTAAATTGGCCACAGTCTGTCACTGTGCTTAGTGATGACAGTCCCCAGTTCAGCCAAGTAGGGGCCTTGGCATCTCATCAAGCAGAAGGTCTGGAATTTGTCTGTGGAAGGAGTTAGGGCAAGCTAGTCCACAGGATTTCACTAAATGTCTGTCATGACTGGGAAAAACAACTACAAGCATTTATGCTGGATTGCTGAAACTTTCATCTAAATTCTTGGAATTGTATCATTTTCTGTTGTGTATGTACTATAACTAGGCAAACAACATGACTATAAAGCAGGTAATCAAGACAGCTTGTCAGACAACTGTAATGTTTGTGTGCTTATTTTTAAACTTCAAAAGCTAAAGTAGAACAGATGGCTGAATTAAAACTTAAAGGGTTAAGAGAAGCCAGTAGAAGAAATTTCTTTTAGTTTATTTTGGGTTGTTTTTTTTTTCTTTTCTGAGATTCTGCCTTAGTTTTGTAATCAGGTTTCTACATTGTGTGGGTACTCGCCTTCATATTTCTTATATGTGCCTTAATCTGAATGGAAGATCTTTACTAGGAGTAACTGTTTGAAGACTTGGAATAAGTTATTTGATGGTTTCTGTAATTAGAAGACCATTATTTATGGTAATGCATTCAAGTTGTAGTGGCAATGAGTGCACATTTCCCTGAAACTGTAGGCTGTCAAAATTATGCTGAAATTCTTGGGATCATTTGCAAAGTCAAAAATATGACTGCTCTAAGAACAAGAACTTTTGAGAAGTGATTTTTTTTTCCTTCCATACCCATTAGCTAAGCTGGAGTTGTCAGGAGCTAAAAATCAAGGCTTTGAGATACTATTCAGGTAATGTAAATGTGTAGAGCTGTAAATATCTGAACTGTTTGATTACAGCATGATGGGATGCTGTTACTGGTACTCTGTATAGTCTGTTGAAGCAGGATGAAATGTATCTAGAATACTTAAGACTTGTGGTTACTCTGATTCACTGTTATGAAAAAATTGTTTCCAATTACTGCTTTCTTAATGTCTTTAATTTGAGGAAAGACTGGTTGTTTAAATAACTGTTCTGTGTTGATCAGTTACAGTCTATCAGCTAATGCTTGCTTGAAACCTGCTCTGTTTTAATAATAGGCTTGAATTAATGAAAATGTATTTGCATCTCTGAACATAATTGTGTGTGAATGTAGAGATTTAAGTAGATTTCTGGTTTCAACACCTCTGTCTTTTTTTGTAGCTGCTTTTCTAACCCAGACTGTATGTCTTGATGATACAACAGTAAAATTTGAAATCTGGGATACAGCTGGGCAAGAGCGGTACCACAGTTTAGCACCAATGTACTACAGAGGAGCACAAGCAGCTATAGTGGTATACGACATAACAAATGAAGTAAGTACTATATTAGGAAGGCACAAGGGGAATGTGGAAGTTAAGTCTTGCATTGATCTTTCCTTGATTTTTCTCAGTCACTTTTGTGAATCAATTCATCATTTCATAGAATGGGTTAGATTGAAAGGGACCTTTGTCCAGCCCCCCTGCCGTGGGCAGCGATATCTCTCACTAGATCAGGTTGTTCATTTCATATTGGTCTATGTAATGTTAAATTGTGTAGATCAGATGGTTTCACCTTTTTGGTAAAATGAGACTTAAAAACTGAAACTTTCAAAAACCTCAGTAACCCTGTTCCATAATGAACAGTGCTCAGTAATAAGAAAGTATTTTGAGACCCTTTCATAACCTTGATTCTTGTAGAGAAGAAATTAAAATTTGCATTTTCTCTCTTAACCATTTCTCTTATTCTGTCTACATAAAGATCTTCCTATCTTCACTTACTTTTTCAGCATTATTCCAACTAAGTACCCTTGAGAATTAAGGTAGGAATGTTTCATTTAAAAAGCTCAGTTGGCAAGTTGGAGTGTGCCTTTGGATAAAGGTAACAGCCTTGCATTGGGCTTTTGCTTGAAGTATAGATAAGAGAGATTGGGATAATAGGTGAGTACAAAAGGATGATAAAACTCAGTTGCATCATTTTCCAATCATTAACAGGAGTCCTTTGCCAGAGCGAAAAATTGGGTCAAAGAACTTCAGCGACAAGCAAGTCCTAACATTGTAATAGCTTTAGCAGGAAACAAAGCTGATCTAGCTAACAAAAGAGCTGTGGATTTCCAGGTATGTACATAACTTCTGCTTATATAAATAGCATTTTGTTGGAATAGAAAATAAACAAACCTAGGAGCGTAGCCTAGCTAGCTGTTATAGAGATCATGCTGTTAAATATAACTATCAACTGAGACTAATTAAGTTATACATGCTACTGAAAAATCTATTTCTATACAAGTAATATGAAGCAATAGACTTTTTGAATAATAAAATTTGAGGAATAACTAATTTATTTGCATATCTTTAATGCTAATTGAATTTCTGTTCTTTGATGTGACCTCTTCCTGTCTTCTACCTGAAATTACCAGTAACTAGAGTTTCAATGGATGAGATAGCAGTAACCTCTCAGTGCAAACCATTCTTGCTGACTTGTCAGCAGGGGAATTTTGATTATCATATGATACAAAGCTGATTTGATTTGCTTAACTTTCTTAGGCTGTACAGTTGAAGTATTCAAGATTTAATTGTGTGTTTCATGGCATTCTTTTTGGTTTAGTGGCGATATCTGTGCTTTCACATTTTATCTTCTGCAAAGTTTAACCAAGTCATCAGCACATAACTTCCAAGCATATAAAACTTGCTGCTGGTGCTTCTGGCCATTCATGATTGATTGAATTTGAATTAAGATCATATTTATTAGTTAGTTAATTCTCTTACAGTTTTAATCTGGTTCTGGTGTCACTGTATGAGATACCGGTGTGTATAGTAATGAATCTTTTTGTAACTATAGAAGTCAGACTGTGAAAGTTAGCAGTGTTTTAGGTATCTTTCTGCCAGAATTCAACAACTCAGTTTTTTAATTTTATACTTCCATGTCAATTTTTAACACAAAGCTGTGTGATAGAAGACCTTTGTGTTTCGCAAAATGTGTGGTGTTTAACAAATTTCATACGTACATGCAGTCAAAAACATTATCATATTTAATTACCAAAGTAGAACTACCTTTACTATTTTTTGTTCAATTACAATCTTAACATTTTTCAGCTGTTCAGTTTTTTGTTAATGTAGATTTATGGGCTCCTCACAGGCTTGACAATCATTTCTCTTTGCAAAGCACGTTTTAGATTTCTAGGTATTTGTTAGTGTGTTATTTCAGGTACAGTTACATAGATCTTAGCAGATGTCACTTAAATGAGTATATATATAGAATGCTGTAAATCTTTTTTTGTCATAGGCGTTCTACAGTTTAGCTTTTTGCAGATCTCCTATTGAATGCAAAGGCAGTTACGTAACGATAAGAAGCTGGGGATTCTTAGCTGAATTGGCTAACAGGAATTGGCAAAAATAGGAAACTCTATAAACTGTATTTCAGTCTGTATTCAGATGGAAAAGTATTTACAAGATATTTAATAGTGCTTATTTGTTGTATAATTGTGCATTTCTGCCAGGATAATGAAACTGTTCTGTTCCATCTGCCTCAATGGTTGAAAGATTCAGGACAGGGCACAAATTGCCTTCTTTCCAGTGTGTGATAAACTTTCTGATACTTGATGGCACTTTCCAGAGCTTATCTGTTCTTGCTATCACAGCTAGTGTTCTGCATCAGGGTTGTCTTTTTAATAAATATATTTTTATTATTTAGTTTTGCCTGAGATTTTTCTGTCTGGATATTTTTAAGATGAGTAAGGATTTTTAAGATTGCGTTTCTAAATGTTGAGCCGCTTGATGGAATTGTGACTTTCATAGCTGATGAATAGCACATTGTCAAACAAGTGTTTCAACAAACTTTCTTTCAAAATGGTATAGAATTTGTTCCTTAGTAGCAATAGAAGTACAATGTGTAATGATTGTGTGATTATTTTTTTTCTTAATGAAGTAAGGCGTTCTTATTCTAACTTTCAGGAAGCACAGGCTTACGCAGATGACAACAGCTTATTGTTCATGGAGACATCTGCCAAAACATCTATGAATGTAAATGAAATATTCATGGCAATTGGTGAGTTTATGAACAATCTCTGAATTAAAGGGAATTGTTTTCATGGTGTTTATACCATCACAATATTCCTAACCCAAGGTCTTTGTTTTTCACTCAAATTATTTCTAGCACTGAAGTTTCCTTAGGCCCTTTCATATCCTTTTTGATGTTCAGAAGTCAGATAAACTTAGTTGAAATACAGCTGCACAGCTCTTTTGTCAAGCACCAAAACACTTGGATCAACTTGCAATAGCTAAGATATGGAACTTGCTGACAGAATTCAGAAGTAACTTACACCCATTTCGATTTCATGTTGAAAACTTGTACTGCTTCAAGTGCAAGGAAAATTAAGTTTTAGTTACTGTAGACAAAAAACACCTTTCTCATGGTATAGGTAACCATAAATAGCTTTACACAGCTTTTCTTAATTGTAAGATGTACTTGGCATTTGTTAATCAAATTAATGTAAGAATGTAAGTGAAAATTTATAAATGTGTGCCTTTTGATAATACACTGCAGCAGATTCCACACGGCCTTGGATAGGTACAGAACCTAGAATAATGTATGTTTTATGAGACAGTGGTAACTGAAGCTGGAAACATTTCAAAGTAGGAGAATGATAATGGACTTGCTTTAAAAAAAAAAAAAGTCAGGTACTCATTTTGGTCTAAACAATATATTTGCTAAATATATGTCTGCATTAAAATTTTGTTTGGGTTCCAAATGCAGCTACCTGAAATCCAGAAGTTGAACCAAGCTGATAATGTGTGCTTAAATTCAATGTCCAAGTAAAGGACACTGCATATGTAAACTAAATTTACTAGTATATTTTTAGCCCTAACATAATCCTAGGGATTTCTGTAAAGATGCTAACGTGTCATAGTAAGTATAAATTACTGTGGAATACACTAAATTTTGTGTATTCCATTGAAAGACATGAAATTGGGATTCACTGCTAAGAAAATTTTGAAAGTGCAGGAAAAAGCAAGCATACATTTTTAGGCTGGTCACCAACCTATTTAATAATAATCTTAATCACAGTGGTGGCTCTGCTACTGAGGAATAGCAATATGTAGTGTTAAGTAACCTTATTAGATCTGTTCTTTATTTTGCACTACTGTGACCTCTCTATTCTACTTTCTTCTGAAAAACAGCGTTGATGTCAAATGTTTTTAAAGAGCTCTTACCCCTGCTTTCCAAGGCAGTAAAGCAGAAGGTAATTTGTGGTGTGGTTCAAACTTCCAGCAGATGCAAATTAAATTACTGCTATAGCAACACTTTATAACAAGTACTTGCTTCATATTAACTATAAATACTGGGGGGGAAGAACACATAACTGTATGAGTGAAAAGTATGTATTTCTTATAAGTGCTCAAGGTAGGCCTGCACTTAGTGATACAGAAATGCTCAATTACATTATTCTGGTGAAATTTTAAAATTAATTTCTTTAAAGGTATAGTTTGCATCTTGGTTTGTTTTTTTTATTTTTATTTAAAAAAAAAAACAGTGAAATTAATCCTGAAAATCTACCACGTTTGGGTTTTTTGGTTTTTTTTTTTGGTTTTTTTTTTGGTTTTTTTTTTAATTTGTTATATCAGCAGTAATTCTTACCTCCCCATATTTTAATGAAGTATGAAAAGTAAATTTGAGAAAGCAATACCTAATTAGTACGTGGGTATTTTGTCTGCAAGGTTAGTTGTCCATATGAGTATTCTTTCACATCAATGGGTGAAATTCAGACTGTCAGTGCATCAGAACAAGATCTGTGCAGCAGTGGACTCCAAAAGGCAATCTTACTGAAGATATAAGTATTGCTTGAAACTTGGAATGGCCTTTTGAACAACATGGATGCAGTTCTCAGGACCATGTGTAAATATTATCTTCAAAAATGGGATAAAATTAAAAATGAGAACATGGACAGAATTGAGGGATGCAGGCTAGAGCTGCTTGTAAATTGACTGCTTTAGAACTCATTCAGAACTTTAAGTAATTCACCTTAATTTATAGTTCTAGAATCAAAAATGAGTGCTGTGAAAGCATTTTTGTACTGGTGCTTTGTCCCTTTCTCCTGTCAGCAGCTTAGTATCTTGGATTCTATCACAAAATTGTAGAACAGCCCCTGATGTGTACTGTGCTGGTTGTCTGGCTATTACACTTGAGTTTCACTCCTTTTAGGAAAAGGAGTTCTTTAAAAAGCTGGCCAAAAAAATTTGGAGTTGAACCGTGCAGCCAGGCTGTAGATCAGGGGTGGTTGTTGGGTCTTAGTAGCATGGATAAGACAGCCCTGTGGAAGTCCTTTTACGTGGAACTTAGCAATTTTGTGGTGGAGAGAAAGCTAGGAAGAGCTACTGCTCAGAAGGGTAACATTTGTCACCCTATTTTTCATGTCAGGACCGAGGAGGTAGCCTGGAGCTACAAGGACAGCAAAGAAATTATCAGTCAATTGGCTCATAAGAGCCGAAGAGAAGAACGAGACAGCTTGAAAAAGAGAGAGACTTGATCTAGTGCTGAGGGCCACTTTATATGCAAATACTTATTCTGGCTAGAGAGTTGGGCAGTAGTTTGACCCATTTCTGTCTGTCTGCATTTTGTGCATTTTCAATCTTTTTGTATCTTTTAGCAGTAGCATCCTGATCTTAAAGCCTGTGTAGGTGGATTCCCACAAGACCCATCGTTTACTGGCATAGCGTACCTGCGCAGATACACTTTACTGCTCAAGTTACTAATGCATTTCACTCTTGAAAATCATATATAAGGTAGTTAATCATTAAGAAGTTAAGTGTCATCTTTCATTACCAGGACAGTGAATCAAATAAGCTTTTATAGCGATTGTATTGATATGCTTATAGAATAATAAAGTGTTGACTGTGTACTCAGGTGACTTAATCCAGTTTTAACTCTGTGTTTTGTTGATTTCGTAGCAAAAAAACTGCCCAAGAGTGAACCACAAAATGCAGGAGCCAACTCTGCCAGAGGAAGAGGAGTAGACCTTACTGAACCAACACAACAGCCCAAGAGTCAATGTTGTAGTAACTAAAACATCAATTGCTTTAAACTGTTCTGAATATTCTTCTGCTTCCTAACTGTTAATAACCATGGAATTGGAGTGCTTAACCTGGCCCAGTACAGCTTCCAAACAGCGAAGAGACTTACGATAATAGTCAAGTTCATGATACAGGGTTTTCTTTTGACCTAAATTTTTAACATGCATGTATCCACCACTGGCTGTAATGTTTCAGCAGTAGAGAGAAGGAAGTGGAATAAACTTCCTTCAGTTGTAAGGTTTTAAAAATCACTTAAGGGTGTTAGAAGAACTACTCTCTGTGGACCTGATTGGCCAGTTCCTTTAGCCTCAATACTGATTACTGTTATAATAAATAGAATTGGGACTTTTCATAATTCTTAATTGTGCTTTAAAACCTTTTTAGAAACAGGGTTAAAAATTACTTAAACTTATTCACAGTATTCATGCAACCAGTTGTTTCTGCAGGTATCCACTGTTCAGTTATACATTCCATAGTTTAATAATTTAATTACAAATAATACTTGCATTAACAATTTTAAGAACCCTATGCTTGCAGGAAAGTGGAGTTTTAGTTGGTACACTGTATGTAAATTATATCAACCCGGTTAGTTATCTAAAGGAATTAGTGATAAATCAAGTTTAACTTCATTTCTAATCTGTTCAGAGGGTACAGACCAGTCAATTCAACTTTATGACTTAGGAATTCTTTTTTTTTTTTTTTTTTTTCCTCTACAAACTGTAAGAGCTCTTCAAGTAAAACCACAACAAACTTGGTGTCTGTGACTTCTTTCTTGGTTTTGATCATTGCTGGCCATTACAGTTTGTTTTTCCCCTAAGGAAAAAAATAGTGCACTAACGATTATGTACATCCAACTTGATTTTAAATTTGGATATTAATGTACTGTAAATAGGTACTCTGCATTGTAGTCTACATTTGTTTAATACTTTCTGTAATATTTAAGAGTTGCTTAAAGGTATACAGAATGTACAGTTACTTAAAGCTAACTTTTTTCCTCTCTAATCAAAGGGGGTTCTGAGTTCTTCCTTTATGGCTAGAACAGTAATAAATGATGCTCCTGTATCTGTAACATAAGTACTGCTGTCTGTCAGTAATGAACTTTGCAACTTTGTTTTCCAAAGTACATTTTATTTTGATCTGTCCAGTATATTGCACTAATTCTTTTAGTTATTTTCATTATATGAAATCTACCAAGTGTGTCAGAAGAGATGAATTAGTCTATTTAAATGTTGAACTGATAGCAGAAACTTACTTGTGCAGATTTTAAATTTGCAGTAATCTGGGTTTAGCAAGGAAAATGACAGTTCACCAGTGTTCAGTTTTATATTGAGGTGCTCAGGTTTGAATAAAGTGGTTTAAAAAAAAAAAAAGAACACTTTTGATTACTGTTTCTTACTGAGAATTTCAGAAGGTTTTATTGCATTTGCACAGTTCCAGACAAGATGTCTGATTTACTATGTGGGTCAGCATTTAAGATGATGGCAAGTAAATTCATGACACAGATAAATAAAAGCTTGTACTGTATATACTGTGGCACTCCAGTTATCCTATGATAAATTTTTAAGTGCTGAGGTAATTGGGTATCTTCTTGCACCCATTTAGAAGTACCATCAAAATAGTAATATTATATCTTGAACCTGCAGCTACTGCTGTCTTTACCAGTTGTTTACTAATGTAGCTTCCTGCGTTGTCATAGGGTGTCTCAGAGATGACTCTGCCTCTTCCTGCAGTTTGTGATTTGCAATTAGACAGGTATGTGTTTGTGTCCTCTTCAGACTGTAGTGGTGGTTTAGAACCCACTGGCGATACAGTCTTTAGCAGCTCTTGGCCAGTGTAACTTGCAGGTTTATCACAAAATATCTTGGAGTTCATTTTTTCTTCCAGTTGTGGACCTGAGTCATAATTAGATGTGCTTTTGCATTCTTTGGGGGCTGTTTCATGTCTTCAGACCCTATTGCCAGTATGTTTTCTTGCAGCTGTTTATGGATGCAACTTGGAGCTGTTGCACAGAAAGCATTGGTGTCTTTCTTGCTCTGCAGCCTGTGACTGTGGCTGATAGGTAATCTTCTCTGTCCTCAAACTGTTTCAGTTCTTCAGAATCACCTCGTGTGCTAGAATCAGGCTGGTTTATATCTCTGTTCCATGAATTTACTTCATTCTTACTGAAAAGATAGAGTTCTGGATCAGTTTGATTTTTGTGGTCATCAGTTTCCTAAGAAACTCCACTTTGCAAATAGTTCCTTCTAAAATGTGAGTGTGTGCTTTCAGAATACTATGGCTGAATGAACTAATCGAGAGTTTTGGATTCAGAACTGTATATAGCAGTATAAAATTTCTAGTACCTGAAAATAATTTGGACATCGTGTAGAATTTACAGTTTACTAACATGATGCCTTAAACCTTTTCCCCAGTTAAGGGACACAAGGGAGCAAGAGTTCTCATGGTCATAAGAAGCCAAGGACTAACTTCTTTCCTTTAGTAGGAATAGGTACTCTACTTTTCCCCTGACGCTGTTGAAATCTGCAGGATGAGAATGAAAAGTCTTAGAAACTGCATTGCTGCAGGTGACTAGTCTTGTCAGACTTGAGTGCAGAGTGGAAAGGAAAGCAGCTCTGAAACAAAGTGCTGTATTGTTTGAGATCCTCTGTGGCGATGCTGGGAGAAGACCATTTTTGTTTTAGAGGAGGTTACTGGTCCGCTCCCACGTGTTGGCGTAAGGGCAAAAATGATGTCTTGCAGAAGGAACTTGAGTGGGATGGCAGATTTCCAGACATTAAGCTGGCTTCAGTGTGTTCGTTTATATGGTATTTTGAATACCATCTGGCTAGACTAGGGCACAGATCTCTGAAAAGTGTTTATAAGTAGGCACTGCTTATACAGTAGTTGTATTTCTTGGGCAGTATTGGTGTCTTGTGTAAGAGACTGCTAAATGTAGTCTGCGAAGGCAGATTTCTCTGGAAGGTGATTGAGAATATCAAACTGGATGACACACATTTTTCAGTGATTATAGAATGTAGATGCCTTAAGTTATACTGTGTGAGTGTTTCCTTGTGCTTACTCCCTCTTCGTTCCTCTGATTTTCATGGAGAGCTAGAAGATTGTCTAAAATTTCCTTTGAACCCTCGGAGTAAGACCACCAGCTCTAAGCCTAACAAAGGGCATAATATATCCCATGTGGAACAATTTGACTGCAAGGAAGAGTAAAATCTAGTCGCTTTTGGATGCAAGTCTCTTTTCTGCAAACCAGAGACAGGGCAAAAGAATCGACAAAACTAGCTGACCTGTCAATGTGGGACTAAATGAAGAAGACAAAGTTGGCCAATGCCACCTTCTCCTGCTTTGCCTATCTGACGATCCTCTTCAGTTGCTCACCTGGTGCTGAAGGAACGTGGTTATATTTCTGTAAGAACACATTCCGGGGGGGGCAGGGAAATGAAGCTTGATGTTGTATAATTTTTCTTTGATGTAATAACAGTTGGAAAATTAAGTGTATTAGATTAAATAAATGTGTATTTAGCAGTGGTTCAAAAATGTGGACTTCAATCATAAAATGCTTAAAGTATCTCTTATCAGCTGCAAGCCTTAACTAATTAGCAGAGATTGAGTTTACAGTATCTTTTATTGCAGCCAGCATAAAACTTCAGCTGGGAGGGAAGGACGGAATCAGGTAACTAGAACCAGAAAGCTTATGTTGGGTGAAATCTTTACCAAATATTTTTACCTTTATATTGCCTCTCAAGCTCATTGTAATAAGAATGGGTTGCTTCCCCAATAAGATGAAAACAAATGCATCTGAAAACATTCCCACCTTTTATGTGACTTAATACTATATTCCATTGAAGACATGACTGCATATCCTGAAAGAGTATCTGAGCTAGTGCTAAACCACCAGTAAAGTTCAGGTGGCTGCAAAACTGGTTGAGGTAGAGAAAGAATGATCATAGCAACAAGCGCTGGGACAAGGGAGAGTAAGGGGGAGCAGCGACGGACTGGTTATCGTTAAGAATATGTATATTTTAATCTGGAATCAGTTTTTCCAAATGTGGAATACATTTACTTTTTCTGCCTCATGAAAAAAAATGAAGCCTCTCAAATGGTTTTCCCTTTCCCCCCTGATCTTTGACCCTCTTAATTTCAAATTCATATGAAGAAATATGAAGAAGTCTTTCAAGTTTTGTGGATACACTCATCTGAGGAGGGAGTGCCCTGCTGCAGTGTTATCGCACTCCTTACTAATGCTGAGGGCGGGGGGATGATAGAAAAGTATTGATAGTGCTGGGCATGTGCTTCAGCAGAGACTAGAAGATGCTACAGAATATACCTGTAAACACAAAACCATTTGAAACTATTCACTGAACAGCTTTCATATATATATACACACATATACATACATAAAAAAATCTGCTTCTATACTCCTTTATGGAATATATATATTATAAATATAAAATATAGTATGTATAAATATATATATAAAGATATTCTGCTTCTATACTCCTTCATGGAATAACAAGTATTTTGCTTGTAGTCTTAACAGCTGTCTAATGTACACAAGATAACTGGTAACAAAAAATCACCAAGTGGGAAGATATAATGACTAGAGTTGCTAAGAACTGCAAGAGCTTTATCTGCTGTTGCATGCAACAGGGCTGGGTGGAGAAGCAGTTATCAGTGTTTCTGATTGTAATTAATAACTGATTTTCTACACTATAGAAAGGCAAAGCAGAGTTCTGTGTTGTAAGGAAACGGGTCTGAATAGATCTTCCTTAGGAACAGTAAATAATAACCAATTCCTGTTTCAGAAATTAGCAATTGAGAACATCCCCACAGATCGTGTTTCCAGTTTGCTGGTAGCAAAATGTGGTGGCACTTAGTCTCATGAAATAAATGAATAAATATAATATCTTAAGCATGTTTCATTGACACGAGATCTATCAGATCTAAATCTGATTTCTGGTAGCTGTCTTTCATGTTAGTAAATTGACTTTACTGCTTAACTCAGAATATTTACTGAGGCTACTCATCTAACAAGCTTAAAACTTAAAACCAGTATCAGTTGCAAGGGAATTTGTCATGTCAGGTTAAAGCAATTGCTGCTTTTTATCTCCAGATATCTACTGCCAACAAATCTCTCATTTTTTTTTTCTCCTGTTATTGGGTGGAGGAAAAAAACTCTTGGTGTGGAATGTGCATATCTCTTAGCTATGTGTGGTAACCCCGCAACACCTTTGGCTGTCCTGGCTAATGGACTGTCTGCTGTTTTCGAAGTGTCTTCTTTGTTTTTTCTCAGTGCCATCTGTCTCTTTGCTGGGGATTCTTTCTGCCAAGCAGGTAACTGCTGAACAGCCACTCCGGTGAACTTTGGAAACCTCATTCCTTCCCAGTGATAAAAGTCTATGCATTCTCCAAGAGGGCTTGGCATATGCTTTGTGAATCCATTCGTAAATATGGGTCTTGTTGTTGCCTGGTTGATCAGAGAAATATCTCTTTTTCTCTGTAATGTGCCCTGATTAGCGTGGCATAAGAATCTAGAACTTGCCATTTATCCTTTCATAGGAAGAAGCTGTTGGAGCAGCCTGGTCAAGAAGTGAAAGTGGAAGCTCTGCTGCAACTGTTTGCACCTGCCACACCATAAAAGCCATCAACTAACCCACAAAAACATCTACCTGATCTATTTCCACAGTCATCGAGCACAACAAGCCTGTCTTCCTTGTCTCCTTGCCATGTGGAATTTTTATCTTGGCAAATTGATAATGGTTTTAGTAAATAATTATTTTCTTTCCTAAAAGTACCAGGATTGTTAATATTAGCAAGGTCACAATATGATGTGAAAGTGTGATCATCCATAAGGAATTTAAATGAATAATCAATCTTCTGCTTAATACGTCTCAGAATATTTAGGAATCTTGGTCAACTTTGAAATGAGTTCGTATTTCTAAGCCGAAAGTTTTTTGTTGTCAGTCTTTGTGGGCTATGAAAGCCCAGCCAAACTAGGGCTTTGTGGGTTCTTTTATGCTAAAGAAGGTGGTATGGCTGTATGTTCTTGATGTGCAGAGCAAAAAATCTAGATGTGCTTGGAATCATCATTCTCACATGCAGTTGTGACCTGCAGGTTGTCATCTTCATCTCCACAAAGTTCAAAATCAGGTGGGTTTATTTTATCCTGAGATTTTTGCTCCCATGTCATTCTATAAAGGAATTGAATATGTGAAGAGTTCTCGTATTTTCATATTTCAGGATTTTAATATTAGGTCATACTATGCTACCTAAGCTTTTTCTCGCTCCTTTATAAACTCTGAATCGCATCATTACGTACTAATGTGTACGTGGTCAAGAAACTGGCAAAACCATGTGAGATTATATAAAAATCATAACTAACAACTATGTTAAAAATCAGCAGTAAATTCAAGAAGTTTGGAAATACAAAATTCACAGCAATTTAGATTATTCTTGTAGCTAGTGAGGTTTCAGTCAGTTGTTTCCTCCTTGTGATGCATAGCCCTGTGTCTTCACACTGTTAGAACTGTACGTACAACATAATTCCTCATCACTTTTTCTGTATCTACTCATCCCCTTCCAGACATCGTAAAGTGTAACTGGGGACAGGGGGAAAAAAGAAAAAAAAGCATTTTCAAGATTCAGATTTAAAAAAAAAAAGAAAAAAATTACCAATTTTGCATGGGAAACATAAAATGAGGCCAGAAGCATTGGTGCATCTCTAATCAGATCACAGTCTGATTGCCATTGATTTTAGTGGTGAGGATTTTAGGAGTCAGTTGAAAACTGTTTTACACCATTGTATTTATGCACACAGAACATGAATTACATTTATGTGGACAATATTGTTTATTTTTGCTTGCCAAGAGCTAGATTTCTCAGTGTTCATGTTCCTTTAATGGAGGATGGATTTGGAATGTGTCAGTTTCGCAATCAAGAAAGCATAATGAAGAACAAAAGTAGTATCAAATGGGCCAACCAGTGTTTGAAGTTCTAGTTCTGTGGGAAACCCCTGCTCCTTGACCCTGAGACCTGTGAGCAGCAGCACACACACTCTGTGTCCTCCAGCCATCAGGATGGAAGGAGAGACACGCTTTGCAATAGAGCTCAGAGAAGAGCAGTGAGGCTGAAAACATGGAATCAAAGCCAGGTACTACAAGGACATCATAGGGTCTAGTCAGCACAAACCTCTCTTCCTGTTCTCCCGGCGAAGCTGATATCTTACCTCCTGTTCCCATGCACCTCATTCTTCCCACTTCAGCTCCTTGCTCCAGTCTCCCGTTCCTCCCCAGCTCAGTCTCTCTGCAGTTTCATTCTTTGGTGCTGTATTGCTATTCTTAGGTCTGGCACCCAGTGCTACAAAACCAAGAGTCAGAGCTGTAGAGCAAGTCCTGGCAAGGCATGCCTTGTCAGAGGCCAGCCGGTGCAGAGGGGGCTGCCTGCATTCAGCACCTACACCCTGGCATCTCTCCACTCAGCACTGGGAAACTGGTGCTGCTTTTTAACTATTGTAACTTGCTCTGATTTTGGATACGTTTACAATGATAAAAGAGGTACTGCTGATGCCATCTCAGGCAGATTTCCAAGCCCTAGCTGAAAACCTGACACTATTGGAGATTCTCTACAAAATAGCTATTAGAATTTTGGTTTAATAGATATGAAACGACATATTTTTCTAATAATAGAAACAGCTAAACCATATTGCCTGGAATTTTTTCAAATTACTCTCCTTCAGGCTTGGAAAATTTCTGTGTGAACAGTTAATATTTGCAGATGAGTTACAAGTTACTGAAAACATGAGGCACTCCTGCTTGTAGGCAGCACTGATAATTCTACCTGTAATTTGAATGGGAAAGAAACCTCATAAATATCAACATTGCTAAGGCAGCAGATGAAACTGATTTATGGCATGAATGGCTGCTTTCTCCTATAATATGATGTACAGCTAAACCTTACAGCTGCTTCCACAACATCCTCTCCCCCTAGGTCATCAGGACATGACACATGTACACAGACACCATAATAACACAAAATCCTGACACCGTGTGAGAAGCTCAGCTTGCCAGCCTGTACATCATCTCTCTACTGAGTATGAAAACACAGTGTTTAAGTTCACTACGTTTATTTCAGTGTTTAGTATTTATGTGCCTATGGATGAGAAATATCAGACAAAAATGTATATGTTATAGTGTCCTGGGTTCAGCTACAGCAGTCATTTTTTCTCCTTCTTAGTAGCTGGTGCAGTGCTGTGTTTTTGACTTTCAGCCTGGGAACAACGCTGATAACACCGATGTTTTTAGTTGTTGCTCAGTAATGTTTACTCTGACCAAGGACTTTCTCAGTCTCATGCTTTGCCAGAGAGGAGGGGAAGCCGGGAGGAAGCAGAGGCAGGACACCTGACCCAAACTGGCCAAAGGGGTATTCCATACCACAGCACGTCATGCCCAGTATATAAACTGGGGGGAGTTACCCGGAAGGCCAGATCGCTGCTCGGGTCGGGCTGGGTATCGGTCGGCGGGTGGTGAGCGGTTGTGTCCTTTTCTCTTGTTATTCCTCTTATCATTATTATTGGTAGTAGTAGTGGTTTGTATTATACCTTAGTTACTGGAGAGCTGTTATCTCACCTCGTGGGAGTTACATTCCTCCGATTCTCCTCCCCATCCCTCCGGGAGCGGGGGGAGGAAGGAAAAGGGGGGGAGGGAGCGAGCGGCTGCGTGGTTCCGGGTTGCCGGCTGGGCTTGAACCACGACATATAGCTTTTCATTGTACCCTGTCTTCAGAGATTTCTGACTCCCAGTTAATCTTTACCTGCTGTTAATCCAGCACCAGAGCAAACAGAAGTGGTTTGGCAACCGTAATATCCCACAGCCACATTACAAGAGTAGCCTTTGGTAACTTCATCCTCCTTCAACCTCATCCTTTTCTGGGGCTCGGTCTTTAAACTTGATACTTAAAGTAACTATTTTGCAACTGTTTTCTTTTCCAGGATTTCATCTGGGAAGTATATTTTCTTCTCTCTGTTCATTAGCTGTGGATTATGAGCATTTCCATGACTTGTGTTTCAATGCACATGTTTAAACTGTGATGACAATTGTTTCAGAAAATTCTGCTAACGACAAAGCCCTAACCTCCTCCAGCCCAAATTAGTGTGTCTTAAAGAATCGGGTGCCTCTGATCAGCTGAAGTACATCAATTATATGTTTTTAAGAAGAAAATCTCTTCTGCAGAGGATGATACCTACTATAGTATTAGCAGAACCAGATAAAAAACCCTATGACACTCTAACATGCCTTGTCCATGCAGAGGTGAGTTAGGACTAATATATACATAAAATCTGTACCTACTGGATACAAACAGGTTTGGGTATTTTTTTAGTCAGTCTTTTAAATATAAACCCATTTTACATTCAGTGTGTATAAAACTTCCTTGGATTAGAGACAGGAAACGGAAAACTTTCAATAAAATGTTAGTTTGACTTCAGTAACCTTAATTCTTTATACTCACTTTATAGATGTTTGTATCTCTTAAGTCGGTGTAAGTGCTAACAAATCACAATTTCAGAGCACCGAAACAGTCCTATTTACTTACGGTGTGTAAATAACCAGGCTAATATACATAATAATTCATGTAGAACAACAAGATATATTACAACTCTTCAGTTGCAATCATTTTGCTTTTATTTATTGAAAGGGCAGCCCTGATACTAATTTTTTTATAGTATGTACACATTGCTTGTGTTAAGAGCTGAAAACCTTGTAAATACGAAATAAAAAATGAAACATTTCCTTTGCTGATCTCTTATGAAGTAGAAAGTTTATTCTGTGTTTCCTTCTCTCCTTGCGTTTCCCTCTTAAGGAACAGATACAGATTGGCAAGTTTTTTGCTGTCAGGTGAGGGGATAACAGCGAGATACTGACAGCGCAATACATGAAGCTAAAGCACACTCAGCCTCAGAGAGAATGAATAAAATTCAGCTTTCTAGCTCACTGCAGTTTCTCTGTGCCTATTTAGGGAACCAGACTCCAACACTGTTTAATGTTCTGAGCTGAAAATAGAAGCAGATCAAAAAAATTAGAAGATGTAGAAAAATAGGGAGTGAACCACAGTCTGAGATGGCATGTTTTCAAGGGAAAAATATCATATTTACTCTTTGTGTCACAACAAAGAGCCTCTTGGTAAGTGCTCAGTCCTGCTCCTAGGAAAGGGAGGCTGCTCCGCCTCTGCCTCTACCCTGTCTATAAGGGAAGCAGAGCTGAGGCAGAGCATGAGGCTGCAAGCCATGGGCTCATATGGCAGTGGGCTCATACGGGCTCATACTATCACCCCAGTAAGCCTGTTGCAGTTGGACACTACAATCTCATTTTTTAATTAGCAAATATGTCACTGAGCTTTGAGGATACAGGATCTGATTTGTATCCAAACTGAAGAGTCCCATATGCAGTCACCTCCCTCTGACACATGTTGTTTCTGTCTCCACCCAGAGCGTGCTTCTTCCTCACTTACCGTTGTCACAGTCAGCACTTAACTTACACAATCTCTAGTCCTGAACTCCTTCCTCTTGTGAGATTTGGTACTATTATTGCTTATTATTTGCTACATACTTGTGGTCTCAGAAAATGGTGATTATTATTGATGCTGAAACCAGCACAGGGAAGATGCCTGCCTGCCTGCCTGCCTGCCTTCAGGTGACGGGAGCCAGAGAAGGGCTGTGCGATGTAAAATGGAGGTCACAGTCTCCCTGAGCTTCTCATCACGGTATTATCAGCTAATACATATAAACAGCCTTCGCTGCTGCAAATTCTTGCTGAATGAGCACTGGCTTCCTTGCTTGTCTTTTTCTTCTTCCCTGCTTTACCTCATGCCTCAGCCAGCACTTCCCTCCAGGTTCTCCCCTTTCCCATGTGCCTGTTATGCCACTATACAGCTTCATCGCCTCCATGTGTTCAGCCCCTTTCCTCTTCTCCTGATTTCCTTCCCCTACCACACAGTTAGCACCTCCCCTGGAAAACTGTGCAAGAATGCATCACACCTGCTTACAGAAACCACGGCAGCGGCTCTTGGCATTGCCGGGACTGTTTCCCTGAGCCACAGTGTGCCTGATGCCACCAGCCCCTGCCAAGCAGCAACCATTTGCTGTGGTACACTTTGACAGTGCTCTGCAGTGCATGCTCTATTTTACATGCTCACCAG